TTCTCCATGCTAAAGATGAAGTACTTAATGGAGCTACTTAATGTGACCATTTGTCCCTAATTAGTAAAAGGAAACTTTTCAATTGATGTTTGTCGAGGACTCGAAAATTACTTCGACTTCATCTAAATGTCACCCGGCATATGACGTTTATGACCGTTGGACAATATTAAAACTCGTTAAGAATAATACATCGTATTGTGATTTTATGCCTGTATACTACAATTTACATGTTCACAATCAGGATAAAAAAATAGAATTGTGAGATATCAGTGGAAAATTAATTTGTTTCCTTTTACAATCTAATTTTGTAATCATACATGAACAGTGTTGCTAAATGTCTCTGCACTATAAAATTAGTTTTTATTTGTTTTCTTTCATTTAAATTGAATATTCTTATATTCTTTTGAAATTTTGAGGTTCTCTGTGAATAGTTTATAGTTATTTCATTCTATATTATGGTAATCTTAAGGAATACCGAGAAGAACCAATCGTGTTTGTTTACAAAAAGTTGGGGGTCGAAGTGACGTCCAATGGAGCATCGGCCTGATCGGATCCGCGGCGCCGAGCACAAGACGTCACGAGCGGTGTGATGCTGGGCGAATGGTGAAAGCGGATGTAGCGGCAGAGATAGCGACGACGAAATTGCGGTTTGGGATCACTCCGGGGATCGACAGGCGAAGAGCTCGCCGACAACAGACGCCAAATTCAGGAATGAGTATTACAGGATTGGATATGCAGCAGCCGAGGAAGAGGTATTGCTTCTGCGAATGTTTGGATCTGAAAGCAGGAATAAAAGGAGTTCGAATGACAAATAAGATCAAGTTTGCTGCATGTATCTACGAAAATATAGATACCATCGCCGTTACCGCGGTATAATCCTTTTCAAAAAAGTATTATCGTTCGTCATTGTAGTGAATCATTAGAATACATAAAATTGATGGGATAAATATTATATTATAAAACGTCCTTAAAGGGTCTCGAAACTAGGAAGAGAAAGAAAACTAAAATTGTTAAAGAAACAGATTCAAATTGCAGTTTTGAGGCAATTTTCTCGTGAAAATGAATTATTCTTCCAAACGACAGAATGTTTAGTTTTTTACATTGAAGTACATTGATTTCTAGAACGATTTTTAAAAGTCTCGAATGACATCTTCAATACCAAGTAAATTTCAGCAATTTAATAAGATAGAACACGTAATGGAGGATGGGCTGTTCGTTTGTTGTTATCTTTGAAACATTTGAACGCCACCATAATGTGAGACATTTAGGAATATTACGACAACTTCTACCAGAGTATAACATCACGCATTATCGGGGATATTCGGAATCAGGTAAAAAGTTTAGAGAAGAGATAGTACAAAAGTGTATCCAAAAGAGAACTATACGTGAACATAAACAATGCTATGCATTAAGGAACAAATGCTACAATACAAACATAAGCTAAGAGAAATCTGGGAGAACAAATGCGCACATTAATAAACATGAAAACGATGGAAGACGCGACAATGAGGGGACGTCTATTGAATACACAGCATACATGATATAAATTGCTATAATCCGTTTGCATTTGATACGATTTTGTGAAATCCAGGGGCAAGTGGGACCTTATTGATTATGGAAGAGCTTCTCAGCACTCTCCAATATTGAAGGAAGGCGTTAGGGATGGGATGGAACAGGAAAATGCGGCAAGAAAATTTCAGAAGGGAGTACGATGAGAACGAGGAACAATGCACACAGCATTACACAACAGTCAATAATAAACATATTCATTTGTGGCTACAATTATACACGATTTGGTGTGCTACAAAGTCAGTACCTCAAGATAGGAACTATTGTTTCATTATAACACTAAAATTTCTACATTTAATTTGGAATAGGATTGACTTACGTTCTTTCTTTCGTTTGTAAAAAAAGTACAAGAAGATTGCACGCAATAAAGCAACACATTGTGATAATTTTATCCTAATATCTCCTGTAGAATATGCTCAAAATGGTAACTTGAGAAATATCAGATCACTAGCTTTGAACTAATTGTTTAAATCTTCTTAACAAAATATCTGGCGACGATAAGCAGCTTAAACTAAATATTTTTAGCACTTTGTTCGGAGTGCAAGTGCCTAGTGAACCCATTGCGATTTTACAAACTCAATTGGTGTAAATTCACTAGATATGTCGCCATTCTATGTTTCTGCATCGTGTCGCAAAGTTATCACTAGTTCAGCCGGAGGGTGATAGTCCACGAAGATCCTCTTTTCTACGTCGTGCCATAAGCGGGATTGCCAGAAACCACGCGCCTAATGACATTACATGCAGTTCAAAGACCTTTATTAGCATGGGATTACAGATCCAAGGTAACGAACCGCGATCTATAAAATAGCGCGTCTAATGCAGAGTTTAGAAATAAATGTTGAGCAAACAACTTATAGTTTTCTTCAATTAGATTTCTTAGATAGAAATGACATATTTCAATAAACTTGAAACTTTACCAATTTAAGATATTGCAAATGAAGTTTGATGGCAGAGATAAACATATTCCTATACACGAGAAAGTAAAACGTGGATGTGATATATTACTGTGTAGTTAAATGAATAATTCCCTTCAACGACGTGATGTCAAATAAATAGAATGCCTATTGCTTGAAATATGCTATAAAGTCACATCAGGTCCAAAAGAAAACGGGCTAGATCTGTGCGGCTCATGATGAAACAGGTCGTGGCCGTACACGTTAAGATCGACAAAGGGGTAGGGATAATGAATACAGGAGAAGTAGGCCAGAGGTATAGGCGCGCCGCGCCTCCCGCGTAGATTAAGCAGAGATTAACCGCCCGCTGCCTAATTGTGCTAATTCTGGGGCGTATCCTTCCCCCCTGCAGCGCTCGATTACTCACTGGCGGCGGCGGCGGCGACGGCGGAGCGTGCTCACTCGCGAGCGCCTTCATTTCCTCCATTGTCGCGCCGCCCCCCCCCACTCCACCACCACATCGGCCACACCCTCCATGGGGTAGCGACTGGGGGCTAACCCTGAAAGTATTTCAGGGAGGGAGGTAAAGTATTTTGGTTGGGACTCCTCATAAAAAAATTTCAAACGTTTTGCTTTAAATTGATAGCGTGGATATGCAAAATATAACAATATTACTACAATGGAAATTTTATTTTGAATGCGACAACGATTATTTTCAATCTCCCACCAGTAGCTCACTGGCAGCGTGTTTGCTTCCAATGACACGATCCCGGTTTCTATTTCCTGTTCAGGAGATTATATTAAGACTTTCCTTGCAATGTCCTAGCATATGTGACGATGCGAAAGTTCACTTCTCAAGTTGAGAAGACCATAATACGGCGTAGGGATTACTATGCGCCAACCACACGTAGAACCCCATGGTGGCAAGGCCGGAACGCCGCTGGTTAGGCTTGGCCCCGTCAGTACAGTTAGACATTTTTTAAAATAAATTTATTTAAATTATAAAATAAATTGTTGAATAGGCGATGGGCGTTGCCTCCCCTTTTCTGATCCCCACTAGTATGAACATATGTCGCCCTCAGAGTCCTACTTTTATTTTAATCAAGAAGGCTTGAAGGTTTATACTTTAGAATCAGCTGAAAGACTCTAAGGATATAAGGTTACAAATATTTCTTAAGAAATGGCATTAATACAACATTAGTAACAAGAAGAGTAGATATACGAAGGGATAAAACTATTGTGCATGTGCAAAAATATTTCGTAGGGAAGTGATGTAGAACCAATTTAAGAGCTTCTCCTAGACTGTTTTACTCATCTAGTGGTACTCAGTATTTGCAGCCGACAGAATGAAATAAGGAATGTCTCAATCTGACCCATCTAGTTTCGTTTACGCCTTCCTTGCCATTTACAATAATACAGTATCTCATCAATGTCGTTTTCTTCCATCGTCAGCCTTCTCACAGTCAATGCCGTTGAAGTTCCGATGAAGTTCTTCTTCAGGCGCAGCAGAATACATAATAATTATAATAACAACTAAGCACCGTGACATTATCCAAAATATGCCATTGATGCTGTTATTATCAAAAGCATTATACTTCTTCCACAAGCAACTACTTCCACCGTCAGAGAATCAACCATGATACATTCGCCAAATGTACAGATGTCAACAGTATTGTTTCGCTTTTCGTTGCCTTCATCTCCTTTGAATGAGTACATTCACAAATGTTTGCTTCCGTTTCGGTAATTTCCCAACAAGAATGACTTGCTTTCTAGAAGCTATGTTCGTTAATCAGAGAAAGGTGGATTTAATGCCATAATTAAAAGCCTTTGTGGTGTCAAGTCTTTCTCAGATGCGCGATGTTTATTAGTAGCGTCACACCCTTTTCTTGTATAATCCTTAATCAGTGCTCATAAACGCCTCACTGTATTTTCCTCAATTTGGTAGGCGAGTGGAGTAATGACACAGATGAATCATTTAATTTATCGAGGGAAGTCGAAGTGCTGGAATATCTTTCGACCTCGTAACAGAACTACATTTTCAAAGATTCGAGATACACTGAGCAAGAGATTTTGTTCACTTTAATTTATTTTAACGCCAATAAATGACTCCCACATACTTCACAAATAAAATTAACGTTTCATAACAATGTATTTTAATTTATATTTATTGCAAGCGTGTTTAAGAATTATTTAGAACATAAAGATTACCTCGGAAACAATGTCTTGATTAATTACTTTATTAGTTCCGTCTATTTTCGTAGATAACAACAATAATTGAAACCAAAATTCATTAGATAATAGTCATTTTCTCAACAATGAGAAATATTCTCTCAATTTTATAGATGCGAGAAGTAATGACAGAAGAATTTTTTTTTTTTGATTTCAAAGAACATAAACAAACGCTTGCATCACTATAGGCAAACGCTCGCTCGCACTCACAACGCCAGTTCCTACCTGCAGTTCGCTCCGGCCTGCGTCAGCTCCTACCTGCAATAATCTTTTCTTGGCCAGCGGTACTCGAGAGGAGGGTGCAGTGGAGACCTCGGCCCATCCAGTTTAAGTCTCTGTTGTTTAGGTTCCACATGTTTCCTGGAAGCAAAAGACATTCTCACAAGTCCGGAAATGAACTAGTAACCGCCGAGCGCTGGCGGTGCATATCACATGACACTCAGGTTTGAAGTGATTGGAAGTTCCAATCTTCCGCCACAGTCGTCGATCCAAAATGTACGAATCGTTTGCGACTGGACCGGCTAGGCTTGGGAGGTAAGTAGACAGGAAGAAATTTTACGTGGAGCAGATCGCCCACTTGAATTTGGCTTCTTCACACGCGATCGTTTTTTCTTTGAACTCTCGCTCTGTTCCGCCTCTCCGGTGCTATGTTCCGGCACACCCGCGCCTCAAGAATTTTTGAATAACGCCGATCAGCGACCCGACACGTGTTCTGTCGTAAGCAACCGCTAGCGCACCGACTGTTGCTGACTACACTGGCCAACAGTGAAAATCTTTCCGGCTTCAAAATAGCCACTTCTAATTTATTTGATAATAGAAAAAACGAAAATGACTTTTAAAACTTACAGTTGGTTTTTAGATATATTCTATATATGTTTTGACGTTTTTTATCAAATTTAACACCTGAAGATTGTGTTGGGACATCTCAGCACAGAAATGATAGGTTATGGGTATTTTATTACTTTGAATAGCTTCATGACTGCATGGAAAGTCCAGAAAAAGAGGCGGACTGTTGAATATCACAAGATCCCATATCCATTCCATCATATGGAGACGGTCTGTGTGTACCACTCCCTCTGGAAAAGTACATTCAACAGTCAAGTGTAGACGAAGACACTGGAAAGGAGAAATCATCAGCTTTTTCATCTTCACACGATAATATTAATTTTGTACAGAATCTTAATTTCCGCCATTTTCACCTGTACTTCTCCCCCCACATCTGCGGGGCTGTAAGTGAGAAACATGGAGAGCGATTCGATGAAGACATTTCGCAAATGGAACGAAGATATGTGAAAAAATGGATCACCACTATACTTGTGGACTACCATTGAACAGTGACAACAAAATACGTAGAAAAGAAGTACAAGCGACGAGCAAAGAGAAGAAGTTCACGTGAATAAATCCTTTTATTTGAAGCAATGGAATCCAAGTTAATCGTACTATATCATCAAATGACACATTCATTATTCTCGCAATAAAAATTAAAGTACTTTGGATCATTACAGAAAACAAAGAAATCCAAAGAATATTTTTAGTATTTCTTCTTGAAATTAGTGTATCTTAAAACTAAAGCTAACAAAACAAGTCATATTCGTTTTTCTCGACCACAAACTACTATAGTTTTGCTATTTAGAGAAAGTAAAGCATTCTAGAGTGCATTTTTGTTGAACATTGCTATGTATCATTATAGTCAGTCCTGTGTTGAAACATCTTGACATGGTTTAGGCTTGTAACTGTAATATAAATCAAATTGGCGACAAATTGCTTGACAAAAGGAGCAACACGAACCCGCCACCTTCGCACCAGACACCGAGCCGTACCAGCCCCTGGGCTGAGGCAGTAATCTCACAAAGGCATAGCATAAAGTTCATAGCCACAAACTTCAAAGGAACCTGCAATTTCGGAGGGCAATAAACTATATGCCTCGCGAATCCATCACAGCCTAAATGTATCAACTAATTGATGTGATGGTGGGATGATGGGATAAGGCCAGTGGGTGGTGTAATGGCATGAAACTTCCTTTTCATATACTTGTCATTTGTTTTTATCAGATGTTCAGAACATTCTTTCAAAATTTTTTTCTCTTCCGATTATGCTGATTAAATTATTTATTAAAATTAACTTTCTCTTTTTCTTATGATTTAATGATACCCCATTTCTGCCTCCTCCTTTATTTGACAAATTAGTAGCTTTAAGGTTACGGCAAAACAAGATAATCAAATATTTTGCCGCCGGACCGCTCATAAGACGGGCAAGTTGATCAACGAGCGTCTGAATCCGCCCTAGCGATTTCATAATATTTTTGTGTCTTAGACTCGATAGTAGAATACTTTCTAACACGTCTTTAATAAATAAATGAATTTCTTATATTTTGAAGCAAAACAAGATCCGTGTGCTAAATTCATCCAAAATGAATGACCTTGAGAAAACAATCTTCCGTAAGTGTTTGAGACATTTATTAGAGTACATAACGTCATATTCTCCAAGGCTCGATTTCTACGCTGCCTTTTGACGCACGAATTTTGGAGTTTTAGCAAACACACACATATGCATTTCTTGGGTGGCACATTTGCTGTGCCAAAAGCGCGTTGGCTAAAATTCTCCAAACCGTTTGTCAACTTTGTAACTAGAAAGACATAGTTTCGGGAGAAAGAAACCGATTTTGCCCATATTTTTGAATTAACGAACAACGTAACCTTTGTGATAAGCCGCTAGTTCATCAAGGTATAAAACATGGGTGAATCTTAACAACATGCTGGATATTCGTGGATGCAAAAACGTAACATTGATTGTTCTCGACTTCAATCTTAAACTGTGGAGAGTTCAGCCAGTTAGCGTAGAGGACGACTTGCAGTCTCTTCACATAGTAGTTTGTAGCATAACGTCTCAAAATGCACCCGGAATTCCAATTAGAGCATGAAAAGCTGTAGTCATTCTCAAGAGCATCAGCCACACAGGGCATTTAGAAACATTACTCCACCCGAAACTGCAGTTGCCGAGCGCACGTGGAAATCCGACAAGTTTGTCTCGAAGCCGCCCCTTTCCAGGACACCTGCTCTACTCGAGACGACATCGCCTTGAAAGTGGACCCGAGTTCTCGCCCGGCGTCGCCGCCCGCCACGGCGCCGCTCGCAAGCACGGCGCCCGACTTCTAGGAGCGGGTGTTTGCTCGCCCCGGGAAGCGCGGCTACTAGTTGCGGCGAAGCGGTGGCGAGGGCCAGGGTGGGGTGGGTAGGAGGAGCGTAAGTTCAGGTTAGCATTCGCCTCGCCGGGAGGCGGCCGGCGCAAGCTGATGCCGGGCTCGCCCTAATGGGGTGCGCGCTAAGTGCTCGTAGGCGGAGGCCGCGCTCTGTCGTTCAGGTAGGCGGTGGCGGTGCAGGTGTTGCAGGAGGAGGACAAGAGGAGAGGATGGGACAGAGGTTGATGGGAGGAAGGGGAGGGAGAGGGTAAGGAGGAGGCAGGAGAGAGGGGGGAAGAGGGAGAAGACAGGAGGTAGGAGGAAGAAGGAAGAAAGAAAAAGGAGGAAGGAGGGAGGACAGACGATGGGAGACAGAGGGTCGAGGACGGAAAGCGGAAGACGGAGGTAAGAGGATGGAGGGAGGACAGAAGATGGAGGACGGAAATCGGGGGTAAGAGAATGGAGGGAGGACGGAGGGAGGAGAGAGGATGGAGAGAGGATGGAGGGAGGACGGAGGGAGGACAGAGGATAATGGACAGAGGGTGGAGGACGGAAAGCGGAGGTAAGAGGCAGGAGGAAATAAATGCGACTATGGTCACAGAACAGAGGCAATAAAAGTAGAGAAGTGAGTGGCAAGAAAAAGTGGGAGGGGAAAGTGGTGAAAAAGAGGCCGTTTTCGAGGAGACTAAATATTCAATGTTTTTGGAGTAGTCCACATTGCATTCGCTCTGACGTCGGCGGTGGTAGCGGCGAGACAAGGGTCGAAGCATGAGGGGATCTGAAGGAATTACAGGAGGGAGGCAGCGGTGGCGTGGAGGTGAGAGTGGAGCCAGTGATGGTGAGTGGAAGTGTCGCATCAGGTGCGGAACTCGCAGTTTCCTGGGCGAGAGAGCAAACGCAACATTGTATTACGAAGTTTCGAATAGCGCAACTTGCGGCTGATGTAGCTTAGAAATTAACACTCGAATGGGTAGGTGCTTTAGAGACGACTGAGTAGACTTTTGGACATGTTGAAACGCCTACCCTACCTGGAACAAAATTATTCAGAGGAGCATGGGGCGTAACATTTGCGTTCATATTGGTCTACCTTGACATGTTTTGCATGTTTCTTTGTCGAAAACAAACAGGCCACAATATTCAAAACCATTTTTTGATTAATATCTCCGTATTTTTTATCCAAAAGTGACATTTTTATCTGCTCGGAATAGAAAATACAGTATTTTAAAAGTCGGTTGGATCTACAACTAATTAGTCATGTTTTTCTGAAAAAATTAAGGTTCTTCAAAAAAGTAATTTAAGTTTATTTTAGTTAATTCATTACCAAAAAAGTTAAGGAAAAAAGTACTACTTTCTTAAAATTAAACATTGTGAGAAATAAACCACGTGAAAAATATTTACATTAAACTTTCAAAACTAATATATATTTAATGTTTTATAAGTTCAGGTAATTTTAATTTAATTTGTAAAATTAAAGATTCGATTAAAAATATAACTTAATTATTGTAAAATATTAGAAACTTAATTTTAGGACTTCAGTTTCCACAATACTGGCAAATAATAAACGAACTAAACCGATTTTCTTCTACCAGTCACCAACTCAATAGGAATTAGACCCATCGGCAGTTGCACTGAACCGCGTCTGTTGTACGAATGCACGTTAAATATCTTTCCGCACTCATTGCGGTCGAAACCGAGAGGTCAGGAATCGTTGCCCCAGCAGACAGCCATTCAACCACACGCGGCCCCTTGATCGTTGCGCATTCCGGTCCAAACGCAGACTAACACTTTACCGCCCCCAGCGGTTCCAGCAATTTCACACAATGCTCCTGCCCCCTCCCCTCCACTCGCACTCCACCCACGCCTCGAAGCCTCATCTACACGCGGGGGGACGGGAGCTCGAACGAAACAAGGCCTCAATTTTTTTGCGAACGCGATTCCCGGTTTCCGACTTGTTTTCCGAATATCACCGCTCGCGCGCCCGCGCGCTACCTGCGGCCTTTTAGACGCGAGAGCTCCGGATATTAAATTCCGGTCGGCCGCGTCGCCTGTTGCGGTCGGTCGTCGCGTATTGTGTATTCCATGAATGCGATATGCGAAATTAACCCTCCGGCCGACGCGTGCCCGCGGGAGGGGCGGCGGCCGTGGGCTCGTGCGCTCCCCCGTGAACTGCACGGGAACTGGC